CCACCCACCGGAACTAGAAGTGAGATAAATAACTTCATTTAACTTGGATATTTTGTATTTTAATGTAATGGTTTTTGTAGTCTCTATGTATCACATTGGACTTTACCTGTATAAGTTTCCTTTTGTTTTTGTTTTACTTTATATTTTTGCATATTATTATCAGCCTACTAACTTCAAGTTAAAGGTTTGTAAAATATTTTTCAAGGATGTAGCCCTACATCAAGTGGTACTAGACACAAGATAAAAGGGCACAGGTTTCCAGACTATGGTTTTTCCTGGGCGAGTCGACCACGATTTGAGAAATATTTTATGAAGTACTTTATATTATATATACAATATATCTATATATATATATATGTTGGGCGTGTTTGTTGTCCAACGTTATGTCATCTATTATAACGTTTGTTAGGTGGTTTTTGTTGTCCAACTTTGTGTCATCTATTATAACGTTTGCTACAATTGTTTTCTATATGAAAGCGTATTTGAAGTTTCTGGTTAATCTTTTGATTATATCATAATCTATTCTTAGACAATAAAGACGTCTGGCTCTGCCAGACATTATCAATCGAATTTCCGTGTTTGTATTAACTCTACTGATTATGACACAAATTAACAAGGAGGAACATGTACCGTGGTAATAGTAAAACATAAAAAGGTTATAACTGATTTTATCACCTTTTTCCCCTGACAGAATGCTGCATTCATACAGTTCACAGGCACTATCTGTTATCTCTTTTCCCACGAAATTTATCTTTTAGAATTAAATGCAGCGAGAATATAACCGAATATGAAAGACAGAAAATATTCAGTACATACTGGTCAATGGGTGATTACATAAGTCAGAGGCAATTCATTTGGTTCCATGTTGCCAATAAAGAACCAGAGAATGTATCTAAACAGAGAACAAAACAAAGAACTATTTCGAATTCGTTTTTCACACAGGTAGAAAAGAGGGCGTGAGGGATGTTGCACTTATTCATTATCTCTCATGTACAGACTCAATCAAACCGACTCTGCAATTTTTATGTAATTTTGTTGTGATTAATGCTTTCGAGGGATCACTTTGTTTCCAGAATTCCAGATGTCGGTTCCAAAACAGTTGCAAACGCAGTTAAGCACAAAGTGGCAGGGTTATATGTTGGAAATGACAAGAGAGGGAAAGCTGTGCCTGGAAATAAAACCACGGAATATCACAGATCATTTGTAAAGAAACACAACAAAAGCTTTCCGACTGTTGAATCACACTAAACACACGAAGACCCCAACAGGAAGTATCTAACGCAAGATTTAAATATAAAACGAATATACTCACTGTATGTAGAAAAATGCAAAGGACAAAATAGAAAGTGTGTTTCAGAGGCTGTGTACAGAATCATTTTTAGTACAGAATATAACTTTTTTCTTCCGTCCTAAGAAAGATCAATGTCCACTCTGCAATCTGTATGACACTTTGAGAATAGAAGATAGACTAGATGAGGCAACAAAAGCAAAATATCAAGTACACCAAGTGACCAAAAAGAAAAAAAAACAGTGCTAGAATGGAAAAATCAGCCGATAAAAAACGCACAAAGAAAGATCCAAAGTTTTCTGTGTCGGCATTTGATATCCAGGCTATTTTGAAAACACCACTCAGTTTAATTGGTGATCTTCGTTACAAAAGAAAACTGTGTTGTTGCAATTTGTCATTCTATGAACTGGGAAATGGTAACGGGGACTTGTTATCTGTTGGATGAGACACATGGGGAAACCAGGCTCGTGCAAAGTAGGAACTTTTGTGTACTTGTATGTAACCTCTGTTGCAAGTAAGACATCTGGTATTGAAGAAGTGGCATTATATAGTAATGCATGTGGAGGACAGAATTGCAATCAGCTTGTTGCAAGTTGCTTAGTTCACTGTGTCCAAGATATTACCTCACATCAATGGTAAAACCACACATTTCTTGAAATTGGCCATTCATTAATGGAATGCAAATTCCATACATGCATCTATCAAGCATGCAAAACGCCTTACAATAGTTCATGTTCCATCGCAGTGGGAAACAGTTATATCATACCAACGCCGGAAGCAACCATATATTGTCGTTCTAATAAAATACACTGACATACTAGATTACAAGTTGTACAAAGAACAAAACTTTGGCTCAATGAAAATCGATGTTGATGGTGAACGTGTTAATTGGCTGAATATATATAAAATACATGGTTGATTTAGGGATGGATAAGGCTTATCCGGTGAGCTAGAAAGTGTATCTTGGTGAGCTTTAGCAAGCCAAGATTCACTTTCGCAGTGAACCGGATAAACCTTCTCCAGCCCGACATCAACCATGTATTTGTTTTATCCTGCTTTTAATAATGTTTTTAGAAAAATTAAATGGTTTCATTCTTCTTTTTCCCCGATAAAATAACATCTATATGTAGTTTTGTTTTGCTGCTAAACATGTGACGTTATCAAATGACGTAATGACTGGAGATAGATAAAGACAAAAATACAGTATTGTTGTGAGCTATGGTTTTGTGGTTAGTGAGTTCAAGGCAGTTAGGTTAATGCAGAAGAAGAACAGAAGCAAAGAAAAGTCTCTTAAGGCTCCACGAAAGGCTTATACAGAGAAGCTTCCAATATCTGCTGCAAAAGCTGATTTGATGTCACTTGTTGCCTCTGGAACAATTCTGAAGGAGTGCGAATCATACTATGAGTCATTGCCATGCAGCAAATCTATAAAAGACAAACTTTAAGTGCCTTCTGTTAGTGAGAGTGAAGAAGATGAGTGGAGGTCATAGAATAATTAATGATAAACATTCACATTTTGTGACATGAAACAGTAGTCTTTATTTACTTAACTATGATATGGGTCACTAATATCCTTAATTGCCGATGTCTGGGGTCTGTTTGACTTCAGTTCGATTATATACCAGAGAACATTCAAAATAAATGAAATTTGTAAACTTAGATTTTAGTGCGTATTTTCGTAAACTTTTTAGTTATTAATTTATTTCTGTAGAATCTAAATATTGAGCAGGTACATATTTCATATTTCTATGAATGAAAAGTGTTAATTTTGTGTACGAGTATTAATGTGCATTGTGTTAATTACATTACATAAGGTTCTTCAAAGTAAGGACATAATTGATAAATTTGCAACAGTAACAATTACTGCAACATCTAAATTTTTCAGAGGAACAAGGCTATAACTGCACTTATAACCTTTTACCACAGTTTATCTCTAACTTTTATTGCTAAACCTTCAGAAGTAAAAGGTCGTAAGTGCAGTTATTACCTTTTACCGCTCAAACTTGTAGTCTTGACAGGATCTAAGTACATTTATTACCTTTTACTTCTGTAAAATGATATTATTTTGATCTTAGAACTTTAAAACAAACTATAATTACAGTGTTTTATCAGCACCAAGCAATGTAAACTAAACAAAATATGATCTAATGTAGTCAACAAATATGGGAGAATCAAAAATTTAAATTGTTATAACAATATTACGGAAAATAAAGTTGTATTAAAAAAATATGTTTTTTGCGTTTTTCTCGAAATCTTGAAAATGGCAGTTATTACCTTTTACCTTTGAACCCTCGATATGGAACAAATTTGTGCTCTACTCATTTTTTGCCTTTTACAAATGAGCCAACACACAGGTTATTTGTCTGACCAATATCAACTGGAAAAATTATTTCCAGTCCTGTCACAGAACCTTTTCCACATAGTTTTGGAAAAGGCACCGGGAAAAATATTTGACACTTCGGGAAACTTGAGAATTTTTTAAAAGTTGAAAAACTTTACCCAATCATGAATGCAAGACTTGTCAGTTTTATAACTGGTGATAGCGTGACAATGCCTTGTGTCATGACAAAAACCCTCAGTGGAGTCCTTTTAATTTTTCATTCTGTATATCAATCTTGACAGCTATTGTTTGTATATATTAAAATTTGTATCTGTTACAAGCACTGTATTACGAAAATTAGACAGTTCATATTCACAATAACAGTTGTTAGAATCGTTTTTAATACATAATTATGTCTGAAACTATTAATTTTTTTGTCAATCAAGTACAGTATTAATCAGGGTTTTTTTTTGCTATATAACTGTAGCCGTTTAATGGCTACTTCCCCAGCTGAAAAAAATTCCCCTTGAACTAAAAAATTCCCCTTGGTCTGAATAAAATCCACTATTATGGCTTGCTTGATTTTTGATCAAATAGTTCTAATTTTTGTAGGCTATTACCGATTGTCCTGCAAGTAAAAAGTCCAATGCCGACGATGGGCAATCCTCACCATTACGCTGATCATATCTCTAAACATTCTGTCTTTGTGAAAATTCTCCTCAAAATATGCAGACATTTGTAAAAATATGTTATATTATTTATTCTTATAGATTTCAATCATAGTCTGGAGGAACATGGAGTTATATTAATACCAAAAATCGGCAAAATATTCTATTATCACATATTTTCGCGACCTACTTCCTGTTTGATTTTCGGCTTGAATTTGGAGAGGAATGTATTAGTTTAAGTAAATAAATAACAAAACATAAAACAGTCAATTGATTTTTGTGCATAAAGTGTCAAAATGTCCTTTGCAAATCATCATCTAATTAATTTAACACTTAATGCAGTTTTTACATAGAAAAATCAAAGCAACCATTCTGAAATAAATAGGGGAGGTGTGTGAGGTGGTTACAACAATGTTGAAGCTTGGCAACATCACAAATGATATTGACTAAAGTGATTCCAACTAAAAAAAAAGTGGTTTTGTATGTTTAAGGAATTCAAGGCCAAAGATCTGAACTGTTTTCATTGTTTATGACTCACCTGACTTTTAGGGCATGTGTTTATTGTTAATTTTAAAGTTATTAACTCATTTTTTAATGTAATAGATTTTCCCCAAAATGTCATTTTATCGCGCATTTTTTCCCCAACTGAAAGGCCAGGCCGTTTCCCCAAAATTGAAAAAAAAGCCCTGTTAATGAAACTTGGGACAATCATAGCTCTACTTACTGTTCCCGTTTTTTCTGCTGGTTTTTGTAAAACTGTGGTAGCCATCTAAAATAAAGAATATATATATAAAAGCTTACATTTTATTGTGTGTTTTTGTATGTTTTTGTAAGACAAAATGGCCGTCATTTTCTGCCATATTAGGTCATCACTCTTCGGGTTTTGGTGGCTTTTCTTATGAAAATCAATTGGAAATGTAAGAATGAAGTCAATTCAACAAAGTATTGTCCAAATTTGCCCTAATTTATCATTATTTCAATATTTTAAATAGTTTTTTCTGCTACATTTGTTGGCGACGCCGGTGAGCGGCGTCGTCTGTTATGGAATGCTTTTTATTTTGGCCTATGGAAGGAGCTGTTATTATTAGCAGTTAATGTCACGTTGTGTTAATTAGTTTTATTTGATTCGTAAAAATCAAGTAAACAAATATGTTGTTATATTTGATTTAATAACTTTATCTAAAAAGCATGTGCATTGCAGTGTTCAATCTAGAGCGCGCCATTGCGCCATTGGCCCCCTAAAATGACTGCCGGCGCAAAACAAATTTAACTGTGGGCCCGACGGGCGCATTCGCTTAGAAAATACCATTACGGTATTTAAGGTACTTTCTGTTTATTTTTACGCTTTGCGCTCATTATTCACGCACCTGTTGACTGTGCTAGTATTGATTTTTTCAAGAGTGGTAAATATATGCCCGCGCATCGTAAACCAGTCGGTTGCTATAGCGTTATATCAGCAGCTCAGTTCTAAATTTAGCGCACACGATGAAAAGAATTTCCGACTTCTTTTTACCGAATTCAAATGCAAAAAAATCGAAGTCGCCCGATAAAGAGCCGACGAAAGATGTTGATAGTGTTCCATGTACATCCCAGTCCGACCCCGGCCCTTCTGAATCGTCTAAAAGGCGTGAATTTCAAGCAAAATGGCTCAAAGATGACCGTTTTAAAAATTGGCTTATTTTTGATGACGATAAAAAATGTATGCAATGTTCGTTATGCATCAAAATGAGGAAAAAAAATCCGTTTGTTACAGGTTGTGTTAACTATAGAACTTCAACTCTTGAGCGACACATGTCTTCTTCTGACCATCAGAATGCCCTTATTGACCAACATGGTCAGTCAGTTTTTCAAGCATCTTTTAAGTCTGCATTTGACAAAAAGAAAAGCTCCATTATTAGTGCTTTGCGTACAGTTTACTGGATGTGTAAAGAAAAAATTGCAACATTGAAGTACAGTTCTCTTTTAAGCCTTCTTAAACTACAAGGTTGCCCAGATATTTTGACTTTGCATTCTGGAGATAATGCCACCTATGAGTCCGAGAGGGCTGCTGAAGAATTTCAAGATGCTTTAAATCATGTTATAGAAAATGATATGAAACAGAAACTAGCTTCAGCCCGCGCCATTTCTCTAATGTGTGATGAGAGTGATGATGTTTCAGTTCAAAAAAAGTTGGTCATATTTGCTAGGTTTATTCCTGAATGCACTGACTTTCAGCCTGAAACTCATTTTATTGAGAATGTTACTATTGATAAGGGTGATGCTGAAACTGTGTACCAATCATTGAAATCTGTGGTAAGTGAAAAGGGTGTGGATGTCAGTAATGTAATGTTTTTTGGCTCAGATGGAGCGGCAGTTATGACTGGTAAAATGTCTGGTGTTAGTGCTAGGCTTTCAAGTGATCAGCCACTTATTGTTAACATTCACTGTATGGCACACAAGCTAGCTTTATGCACAAGTCAAGCAGCAGAGAGTATTCCATATCTAAAAAAGTACAAGGAAATTTTGACAAATATTTTCTACCATTTTAAACATTCCTCACTGAGAACTGCAAATCTGTCTAAAATTGAAAGTGTTTTGAATGACAAACAATTAAAAATCAAGGAAATTCACAGTGTACGCTGGTTTGCATTTTATTCAGCCCTTGAGGCAATATTTCACACATGGGGTTCCTTAGTTACTTATTTTGAGCAAGAAAAGCAAGCTGAGAAAGGTGGAACTGCAAAAGGGATTCATTCTCAGCTAACCCAGTTTGAATTTGTGGGTGTAACTTACCTTTTAATGGACATAATGCCAATACTTACCAAACTGAGTCTCAGCTTTCAGAAACAAGACATTGATATTTCTTTAGTACAACCACTTATTCAGTCAACAATTTCACAGCTTGAACACTTAAAGCAGAATAATGGTCACTACATGCAACTGTTTAACACAGCATTGACTGAGAATGGACTTGACTTGAGAGATCACAGCATCTCAGCAAGTAAAAACAAGCAAACACATTTGAGTAACATAAGAAGTGACTTTATTCAAAAAATAGTTGCTCAACTGAATGTTAGATTTCCACAGGAAGATACATCAGTTATAAGTGCTCTGGCAGTCCTTGGTTTGAGAGGTATATCTTTTGTGCAGAATATTCCTGACCATGGAAAGGATGAAATTAATAAACTCTGTGATTTCTATGGTTCAAGTAATAATGACACAGACAGTGAATCTTACATTGATAGTAACCAATTAAGGATTGAGTGGGAAATTTTAAAACCTCTTGTAATTCAACAAAGGTATCCAACTGACAATATATATAATTTGTGGAAATTGATTTTTATGTATCACAAGGAGATGTTTCCAAATCTTTTAAAACTTGCTGAGCTTGCTCTTATTGCACCCTTACAAACTGCTGACTGTGAAAGGGGTTTTTCTACCCAGAATGATATTAAATCATCAGACAGAAATAGATTGTCATCTAACAGACTGAATAAATTAATGAGGATATCTTTGCACAAAGTTGACATAGCTGATTTTGATTTTGATAAAGCTGTAGATGCATGGCTATCAGTGAAAAATAGGAGAGCTTTCTTCAGTACAAGTACCTAACTGAAAAACTTTTTTCCAAAGAAAATGTCCTTGCTTGTTATGACATTCACTTATTCATAGTTTAGTTTACACAGTTTATTATTATGTAAAGTTTGAACTGTTAACATTTTATGCAGATTAGTTAGAGTGAAATTTGAAATTAATGAACTGACTGTTTAAAGAATACCTGATATTATACATGTACAGTATGTATGAGTAATTAAAAGAGTTGTCACTGTTATTTTATATTTTTACCTTATGTATATCTGCATAAACAATCCACCTAGAAAAGCAAAGGTAATACTTCTTTTGAATTTGATGGTCATTTTAAGTATGGGCCCCCAGTTTTCTCAAATGACCCCCTCTTGATAAGTTTATGGGCCCAAAGGGCCCCCTTGGAATTCATTCTAGATTGAACACTGCATTGTGATATTATTTTCACGAAATTGCAGGCTCAGTTTAACAGCTTGTTATAGAATTGTATTTTTGTAACGTTTGATATTGTCTGCAAAATGGCCAAATTTCTACCAAACCTGGAGTGCTTGTACATGGTGTAGAGGTTACAGATCAGTGTTGCATCTAGAATTTAAAAATTATGGGGATTGTCCCCCACTCAACTGAAAAATGGCAGCGATTTGAAAAAAATGTGGGGGACATTTACCTTACAATATGACTTATCGAAAAGAATTCATTTATTTAATGTTCAGACATTTTTGACAGCTATCATCCGCTCAAAAACGGAAGTAGAAAAAATAAAATATTGACAAATACTACAAAACACATGTGAGATGACCCAGTCGGCTGCTACAAGCGATTTAGTACGTATTTTAGTCATAACCACGAGTGAAAACAAACATGGCTGAAGCATTCAAGATACGATGACATATGTGTGAACTTTTTTCGATGATCAAGTGGAAGATTTTTCTTAAAAAAGAGGGAGATTTAAGAATTTGCAATAAACAAAGAAGGAAGTTCAGACATCATAAATAGGGAGATTTCTTTAATTTGTAAAAATACCCCTTATTTTAAGAAAAATCTTCGAAAATATGGCTGCAGAAAGAGGGAGTCTCCAGCTTAAAGTGGGAGAGTTCACATGTATGCGATGAAGATAAACTGAATTAAATTGAAAAGATCGTCAGATGCGCGACTTTGCGTGCATTTACTTCATTAAAATGCGCGATCTGCATAAAAAATGTGCAAATCGCGCGGCCTAGATGCAACACTGTCAGATGCAAATAGCACAATCTCTGAGGTTTCTTTACTTTAATACATAAATCTTACACAAAAAGAAGTATTGGTTGATCAGTGGCCTAGTCCAGCAGAGGTATATAGTGACTCTATTTAAATTAAATATCTGAAAATGATTTAGCGAAATAAAAGACAAATATGGAGATTTTATGGAATATTTTTCTTGCCACAAATTTATTCATTAGATCTTACAATAATTCTAATTTTATTGGAAGATGCTATGTGATTTAATATGAAATTTTAAAAAGTAGCAACATTTGTTGCTTTTACTAGTAGTCACAGAAAATGTAAATACCATGATATCATAAAACACATGCTATCATAGGAATTGAGTAAACATATTGTCTGGGAACCTAAATTCATCCCTGTCCTTTACAGGCTTTAGTTAACACAATTTCCGTTTATGTCACAAAAATAGAGAAAAACTGAATCCTTAAAGAAAACAAAAAATTGCAGAATTGAAAATCATTTTAAATGTTGCATGTTTCGTTTGATTGATCCTATTCACACACCAAGCACCGACTAGATGTTTGTTAAAGAAACAATTGAATATTTTTAAATAAACATCAAAGCATCTGTCAATTTCTCAATTCTTTATAATGTTACGCTTTGACTATTAATTACCAATTTATATCGATAGTGTTTTAATTTGGCAGTATGACTATGAAAATGACGAATAATGGCCTCCCTTTCTTGTGTTTTTAGGTTTTGTGTTGTTTTTTGTTTTGTTTTTTTAACAACTTCATCACACCTAAACATGATAAATGAGAATGATTTTCTTTCAAAATTACTTTAAAAAATACAAAACCAGGCATTTAAGACAATGAAAATGAACATGAACAATATAAGCACAAAAATATACCCTTCTCTTTTCTGTTCAGCTGTTCCACAGATGACAGATGCAGACGACACGGGCGCGTGCAAAACAAAGCCCATAATGCAACTCTGTATAAAGTTTGATGCTCGGCCTTTTTAAAGAAATATGCGTAGCCCTAATGTTGTGGAAATTTACTTTGGACCATCTTGACAATTAATAGGACGGCATTTTTATGGTCTCGATGTTTTCGTAAATACATTATTGAAAAAATCTTGATGTGTTTTAGAAAGGAGCTGGTATCAAGTAATACAGTGTACTAAAGCACTGTAGGTTCCAGCCTTGTGACTGAAAAAAAAAACGCATAAATTTGCTTTTTGAGGGTATTAATTATTAGATGTAATGAATATAATGAAAACTTTAAGACGTATATGTTTCCAACTTAGAATTTATTGATGATTTTATTTATGATTTTATTATAAGTTTAATACCTGTATATGTCAAAAAAACTTTAAAAAAATAAACGAATAAAGGGATGATTTCTCGTAAGCACAGATCTAACAGCAATATAGAGCTAGCTCTAATATGAAAATTGGATTTGATCGAGTCTATTCACGGGAGATAATGAAAAAATGCAACATCTTTAGTGTTGAACTGCAGTGCATGCATATACAAAACGCGGTCTGTCCATTTTGAAAAAAAAAACTCCAGTAACCCATTGTACATGCGTACACGTGTACATGATTTTAGCATGACAGCTTTTCTTCCAGAAAACTTCCAAGTTTCCTGTCACTTGTTTTGCAACAACAGATTTCTTGCACCAACTGCTTTCCTTGATGAAGTTTATTCCAATATGTATAGGACAATGGCTGTAGAAAATGAAATATTTTTTTCCGTAATACTTGCTAGGTATCAAAACATTTAAATATTAATAAAAATGTCAAAAAAACTTCTTTCATAAAATATAGATTGAGTAGTAAAACGCGTCATTAAAGTCACGGACATTCAGCATAACAAAGATATTTGTCAATTCAAATAAAAACGCATTTTTGCCAAATACATGCATACACAGTTACAAAAAAGTGTGCGCTTGGTTACTTGGAAATTCTATATACATGTACATACTCGTACATGAGCAATATAGTGGCAAATCTGGTAACAGAATTTGCAAAAATATATTGACTGTGAAACACTAGCTAAATTTGTAATGAAATTTGATAATTATCAGAATTTTAGTTTTGTCTGGCACAAATAATTTCGTGTAGATAGCGGAATAGTGAAAAGTAGAAGCAGGGACTTGAATATAAATATTAGCTGTGTGGTAGAAGTTGCAGCAATTTGGTTTTTAGTTAGTTTGCCATTAATTAGTATCTGTTGCGTTAATATGTCGTCTATGGACCAACGGAAGTGTTTGAGACTGCAAGGATGTGATGGAATATTATATTGAGTATAAGTATACAAACTTTCCCTTGTATTCAAATGCAGACTTTCTTTTGTAACTTCAAAGCATTAATTATTTGGTTATAAACAGTTGTCTTTGAAAAATACTGACAGACAATCGGATTTATGCCATGTGATCAAATGAAAGGCCATAGTTTAACCTTGGCTAGAATGTTTCCTTTCATAGAATATAAAATGTGGCCAGGTGCCTCCCAAAGATGTGCAAGATAAACAAGTAACTGAATAAAAACATAATAAGGCTTGATGGTTTTGTAAATTATTAAATTTCCGTTAATATTTTAACTCCAAGGTGACAATTATTTCGCAATAAACTATGTCCGTTGCACTAGTTGGTTTTGCCTTATGAAACTTTACTGTAAATATCTGGAAAAAGTGTGATCCTTCGGTAGCAATAATCACAACAAAATAACATGAAAATTGCAGACTCGGTTTGATTTAGTCTGTACATGAAGGATAATGAAAAGTGCAAAATCCCTCACGCCCACTAGTACCGGCTTGAGTGGTTCTTTTATTATAAAAAGGGCATAGATGAGTATGTGACAAAAAAGACAAATTAGTTGTTGACAAACATTATAAAGCCGTGTTAAAATAAGACGATATAAATGTCTTATGCTCCTCTAGTTCAAATATTGGTGATCTATGAAAACAACAAGTGCTGGGTTGACCCGATTGATGCTCCCCGCACCATAGGTTTTGGACACAGAAAAGTACACCTCTTGTAGTTTCAGAGTTATGTCCCGGAAAAAGTTCAAAGTGCAATAATTCCAAAATTATGCAGAGTTACTGTTCTTTGCACTGCACTTCTACTCAATGAGATCTATCTACCGACTTAGTTTGTTGTTGATACCTCTTGAAGTTTCACAGTTCAGTGTAAAATTGAAAAAGGGCAATAACTCCAAAAATAGGCAAGGCAGAGTTACGATTCTTTTGCACTGCACTTCTATTTAATGAGATTTATCTACCTACCAAGTTTTATGTTAATATCACTTATAGTTTAAGAGTTATGTCCCGGACAAAGTTCAATAATGAACAAAAGGCAATAACTCCAAAATTAGGCATGGCAGATTAAGATTCTCGTGCACTGCCATCAAATCATTGAGATCTATCTGCCTACAAAGTTTAATTTTGATATCTCTTAGTTTTAGAGTTTTGTCCCGGACAAGATTTTTCTAAAAGGGGAGATAAATCAAAAACGGGGCAGAATAGAGTTATGGTTCTGTGGCAATGCTGCATGCACTCTGCCTCAATGTCCTCTACCACTGTGTGCAGTTAAACAAATTATGTCCAAGGGTTTTCAAGTTATGCTCCAGACAAGCACAACGGACGGACAAGGTGGGGACTATATGCTCTCCCTTCGGGGAGCATAAAATCTAGATCAAATGTTAAATCAATTGTCTGTTCATTTTCGTTATTCATACCTAGGTTTTAGTGAAGGATTCTGTAAGGTACACAATCCAAATATGTCTATATGAAAATAGATCTACTTTCCTGTTAATAAAACTTTACAAATTTTTGCTGGTGTTTTCAAATAGTTTATCATTGTTATATTAAGTCACAGAGTCCCAAGTTGCTGAAAATTCCTTTTTTTCTAAAGTTAATTAGTGTCAAAGGTCACCAATCCCGAGGAGTAATTGAGAAAAACGATGATCTGATTTTAATGATTTCGGCTTTTTTTTGTTGTTGCTGTTGTCAATAAATGAAAAACATCAAAATGAAAGAATATATTTTATTTCATCGATGAAAAGATACATATAATGCTTACATTATCAGAGAGTAAAAGCTTGCACAAGAATTATCTATATTCTTACATATTTGATTCAAACTCCATAAAAATCACAATTATCATACATTTATCTCTGTAATTCCTTCAAGTCTTTCTGTAAATATTTTTTGCAAAACGTTTTGCTTGCAGATAAAAAACATAATCTTTTAAACAAATATTTTAAACTTTATTCGAAATTTTCTACCAACCAAATATCGTTAACCACATACAAGTAACAATAATTGGTCATTTCTAGTAGGTCTCAAATGTCTAAAGTTTTTTAGTGAATTGTTCAAATAATTTAAATCCATCAATCAATCAAACTGCCTATTAGATAACAGCATGTAACAAACATTCAACATTAGAAATCATTAATTAACATATGAAACATTTCAATGTCTATCACAAAATGCAGTAATTCATGACCCCATTTTAGGACACTCTGGGCTCAAAAAGTTTCTAGGCAACACATACTTGTCTTGTTTATCCCTGCAAAAATAAAAAAAATAAGTTTTAATATCAGGTTAATACACAATAATATGTATACAAATTGTTTACTATATATCCTACCAAAAGAAATCTAGCTATAAAATATGACAATGTCCAACATATTAAGCCAATGAAAATTTGATCGAACTTTTTTACCTCCCTTAACTGTACAAAAAAAAATTGTCATTTTTTAAGCCATATTATAAATCAAAAGTTATCATTTTGTTCACATCTTATTAGGATGAACCCAGATCATATCAGTGCATCATGCAGAGCTTTAAACACGGTTTTTATATCACTATCTTCATTTCTTAAAGAAAAAATGTCACATATTGAGTTAAGTACACTGTGGTCAATGAGTAATACTAGACTGTTCACAAATACAAGTTTTAACTTTATGTTCACCCACGGTAAAAGAAATCAACAATAATAAATATGAAGTTTTTAACAGTAAATAATGTGTACAAAAAGCAATTAAAATTTTAGATATGAAATTGGAGTTGAATACATGTACTGTACATGTATATAAAATGTACACTACCATCTCCCTGTATCATCTGTACTAACCAGAAATAGTAGAAGGCATTTTGATAGATATGTATAATAATTAGGTCTGGGAAATTTTCTTTTTAGATGATTTATGGCATATGAATACAACACTTATCCAAGAAAAGTTGTAATTTGCCTCTTAAAATTTTATCGAATAATAACAGAATAAACTTTAACCTTGTCAAGTAAAATCAAATTATCACTAAAAATGTTATCCTGAACACTCTTAAATTAAACAAGGTAATAAGACCAAATGCTTCCAGTATGTAGTTTAAGTTATTTGGGAAGAACTGCTGGGATAGCAAGAAGAATGTACAAATACATGTATACAAATTGACACAAGCTCTCAAACAGATGGACACAAGTTCCCAGACAGAAAGAGGCAAGTTAAAAAATAGATGGACATAAGTCGGTACACCAACATAAAAACTATAACATATACTCATAATGATACTTACACATCATATTGTAAATATGTAAAGACTTCATTAATCTGTGTTTGTGAGATTTCTCCATCTATCTGTGCAAGGTAAGTGTAAATATCTTTAAACAATTGGAAAGGTATTCTTGCTGCGCCACCCTCGGGATCTGCCGTTAAAATCTCGCATACTGTCTTCATAGCCGCTGTGATATTCTGTTAATAATAAAAAATTTACATATATTTGATTATCCTATAATAGCAGGCATTGAAAAATATTTTCAGAGCCTAAATCCAATGCGCAGGTAATATTTTTCTACTAGTCCTGCATCAAGTTCTCCTAAATTCTACTCTATTTACAAGCGACAAGTGGAATTTTGGAGCTCTGCTATATCAACAAAAGCTCTGACTTTCTTAGAAAAGAAATAGAAATAAGCATTAAGGCTATCATCCGTTTTGACCATAAGATAAGCTGGACATATGATGGGTTTCAGGTCAATTAGGGTCAAAACCATGCTTCCAATATGAGACAAGTACTAGATAGTTTCTGAGAGCAGATTCCAGAGTGGTAAATATAAGCCATATGTAGAATCAAACTTAAAATAAACAGGGATTTTTTCACAGGTTGAGGAAGAAACCCTCACCTTAATGGGGGGGGGGGATTATTTTTGCAAAAGAGGAAGAAAATTTTGATATAAATTCAACTTTTGGGGAAAATTGCATAATTTTAAAGAATTTTTCTTTTCGGAAGCTTCCCTTGAACTGCTATTGAAAGGAAAAAAAACCTGATAAATAATGTGAACAGTATTCTCACATGTATAGGATGCAACAGAAATTTAATTCACTGATAACATAAACACTTCAAAACTATACAAGTAATTTTATTAAATTAAACATTTGTTACTGATGTATGGAATACATGTTGAAGAAAATATAACCATTTGCATCAAATCTTTTTATAATAAAATCATTTTATCACACACCTGTGTCAATTTTGCGACTCTGTAAAAATGGTATGGCACACCTGTATTATATTTTGACATGACATCGTTTGTGTTATACAAACATAGCGTTAAGACACCTTAAATGGGAGCGTTATACTATTGGTGCTTCAATAACAAATGATAATTTTTTGCTATAAACAGTATTTATTTTGGGTATATGATAAATAGAATATTATATTTGTGTAGATTCATTACTGAATTTATTCAACTCATTGAATTAAATAATATTTAGCTTGCCAGAGGCTCGCATAATATACTTTGATTAATCATTTACATTGTAACTTGTTCAATAAATTCTGTATTTAACCTACACTCATTCAATATCCTATATTTATTACAATAATATACTATACATGTATTATTACCTCTGCTACAGCAGAACATGCCAGTGCAAAAAATTTGTTCCACTCAATTTCACCACCAAAACTTCCAATTCTAACCAAGTCATCAAACTGTTCTTTTGGTAAAGCCAGGTCCATCCATTTCTCCTCGATCAATCTGAGTTGAACAGTTTTCTTTGGTCCAAGCTGTTTCAACAATAAAATTTAAGTTTTAAACTATTTCTTTGGGTTATAATGTTAACAACAATTTTTTTATAGATTATATTCACAATTTCAAACAGTGTCTTAAGAACATCCAATTAAAGTTTCCATTCAGCTTAAGTAACAGTACCAATGTGAGGCTTGTGAAATTGTTTTCATACATATTTTTTAATCAATCTGATTTCTGATTCTATAAATTTAATTTCTTACTGTAAATGTTACTATCCATAACTTTGTTTGTCCTTTTTTGTAATAAAATAAATGAACTTAAATGAATATATAGTAAAACCTGTAGTAAACACACCTTTATCAAGACGACCATTTCATTTTCCTTCTTGAAGAAATATCAAAGTATTTCAAGTAAAAGTTAGGCTACACACTGGCATGAGGCAGTCTTCTTTTATATTTCCACTCACTTGTCCCTTACTAGAGGCATGTTTGACTATATATAAAATCTTTAATTAAAAAAAATGAATATTAAAGTCAAACCTGTTTGTTGAGCACCCTAAGAAGACCAGGAGTAAGACCTGTGTCGGTTTTCTGTGTGGCTACTGGCATCTCCAATCTCTCCTTCACCGGGGGAGTCTCTCCTTTACTCATTGCCTTGAAATATCTGAAATAGGAATAAAATGAAATTGTTAAACATGAAGCACATATAAAATTTAAAAAACATTGCAGATTTATTTGACATTCTTCATTTTTAAAAGTTAATGAGTATTTCACAAGTTTTAATGCATAAACCTTTTCAACGATCTAATATGGATGATCATACACATATTTCAAAGGAAAGATTTCACCAGAATATTTAAATTTTAAAACAGTGCTGACATATCTAGTTTAAACATAATATAACATAAGTTTATCAATGAATCGTATGCCAACAGTATATTGATTATACAGCCATTCTGAAAAAAGTTTTCAAGTTTTAACTAGTGTTTCTTACGCTGCTGACCATCCTAAGACATCTGTGGGCTGCGTTCTGATGGCAGCTTTAGTAAACTGTTTAAGGATGTCTGGTAAAGCTGGAGGAATGTTGATCTGCTGGGAGCAGTAGTAGGGCTCATCTGGATTCCCGGCCGGCATTCTGTAGCTTTCCTTGTTTAACTAACTTTAAACTGAAACAAATATCATTATACATTAATAATAAATCTCATATCATTTAATTGCGATTTAGTATGACAGTTTCAAAAAGATTAGCATAAACATGTGTTGCTTTGGTAGTCACAGAAAATGTAAATAATGTTATACATTTGTATCATAGAATCCGGGATAACATAGGAACTGAGTATATTTTTCATAAGCCTAATTAATTTAGCGTGAAAGGTTTCGACCCATTTTACAATTTTTTTTTCATATGTTACCTGTCCAAAATGATATCGATTTCTCTTTTCTTGTGACAAGTTTGATTAGATGGACTTATGTTTCATTATCTGACCATATATCTTTCCATTGACCATTTATGTATTTCTAGGCCTCAATAAATTTTTTTAGGGCCACTCGCCCAACCCAAACTTTTACTCGAAAATGCGAGCTGTCGAGTGGATTTGTCGAGGCCTTTTTTCTGCCCTGTATTCATGCAATTTGATAAATATATTTCTTTGGTTTATGCCAGAAATTGTTACCCTTTATTTAATTAAATTATCAAGGCATTTGTTTTGACTTTACAGGCATAAACAGCCATTCTTACATTGAAGAATGACCATACGATAGCAAGTACACGTAGTACCAATGATTTCAAGTGAATATTTGCTGTTCTGTTTCAAATGGAACTGAACCTATCAATTTAGCTGAAACTAAATTTTAAATTTTACATCACGAAATAACATGAAATGATGAATTGTCAATTGGTGCTATTATTGGATAACGACAGAAAAATCATAATTTTCTGCACAAGCACGCGTGCGATTTAAATTCGCACCATTTAAACTAGTTAAACAACAAATTAACTAATATAGTGAAAACATATTTACCTGTAGTGATAGATTTGTTTGAGAATTTTTGGTAAACCTCTATTCGTAAAAAAATTATTATTTTGTTGTTGTTGGCAACCACTCGCGCAACTCTCTGCGCATAGGTCCTTCTTTCCGGTGAACGTCTATTACTCGACGATTTAATTATTATATGTTCCTTTGAGACCATTGATAATAAAAACAATGTGTCAAATAAATAAGATTATCCTGCAATCTACTCCATTTGAATATAAGAGGCACCTATCCATTTACACAGAGATTATCTTCAAATTAGTTTTTGCTAATTTTAAAATATATACAGTATAATATGATGATTGAAAATTAGGAACATGTATTAGCGCAATCCCAGCATGTAACAAATTGAAAATCTTCATTTTTTCCTAAACATGCACGTGTATTTATACTAAGAGTTGTAATAAATAACGATCTATACTGAGCGTTTTAAGAATGAAACATACATTTACAATAATACAATATTAGAGCAGATAAAAAAGTATACATAAAAATAGAGGTCCAAAGAAAGAACAAAATTAAGGTATACTGTGCTCCTCTTAGTTCACGGTACTTAACACTTTAAAACAGTAAAGAACACAAACAATACAATTACACTACAAAAACTGTCATAAACTGTATCATTTAGTCATTTTCCTGCTATATGACACAAGGAAACAACAATATATTCAATCAAAATTAGTTTAAATTTGTCAGATGTAAACCGTGTGTCGGCCATTTTGAAAACAGTATGTCATCATTTACCTCGCGGTAATGGTGTTTTATATCAGTTTTTCATGTTTCAGTTAAAATTTCTTTAAGTTATTTTGCATAATTTTAAATATTAAAAGCATTTTTACATTGTAACTCAAAATTTATTTTTTTCAACAAACAAGAACATTTAGAAAATGATGATTGTTTCAGACGTGTGCACAAATTGGACTATTGTTGTTTTTTGCAGAAGTTTGTAAAATGTTGTTCAGTTTTACGTGAAAAATCTATAGATTTAAATTATTTTGCACAAAAACTTTGTTGTTGAGGTGTTTGAATAAAATACTTCAATTCTGACCAATTATAACAATGGTCACATGAAAATATGCCATTACCGTGAGATAAGTGATGACGCGGAATTAGTGATGTTGAGTATACTATTAATGAATCTAAATACTTGAACTCTAAGGAAACTAGATTCCAAATTTCACGATATGTCATACGTTAACTTACAGAGTAAGAAAAATGGACCGTCTATCAGGGACTCGAACCCGGGATCCTCGGAATACGCACGTTCTCCGACTCTACCATGCAATTTTAATATTATTTGTAATGGTCACACTATTGAATCTACTAAGACAGTCAAATATTTGAAAATCTTCTGTCTGGAGAAGAAATTGTTAATGCAGTCATATCTAAAGTAAACACTAAACTTAAATTTTTGTACAGAAACAGTAAATGTCTATCATTTAACTGTAGAAAATTGCTTTGTTCTGCTTTAATCCAATGTCATTTTGACTATTCTTGGTCGTCCTGGTACGAAAGTTTAAATAAAAGTCTGAAAAAGAAACTGCAAGTAGCTCAAAACAAAGTCATAAGGTTTATAAAAGATTACCATCCAAGAACTAGTTTAACTCCTTCTGATTTTAAAGATGTTATATATAACATGTTAAATATTGAAAAAAAGAGTTAAACAACTGAGACTTAATCATATGCATACGATTTTTTATAATACGTGTCCAACTTATATGAAAACAAATTTTGTTCGGATGTCTGATATACACAACTACAACACTAGATCAAATAAGTTTAATTTTTCAATTCCTCTTTGTAATAAGACATGTGATAGCACCTATTTCTCTGCAACTGAGTTTACAAACATTTTCTCCCCTTGTTAGTGCAAGATCAATATCTAAACATTGATATTCCAGGTGAGAGGCTTCGAAAATGGTATTTATTAATGATCGTGTATCTTCTCGTATAGATTTTACGTATAAATGAAGTAGGATTAAACCTATATAATGTATTAATTAAGTAAAAACAATTGGCTATTTTTCCCTGTAAAATACGTAACTGGGGATAAACTATATACATTGTATTTTAAGCGTCAATTTCTAAGGTAACTTAGTTTACTTTAAAGAATTGTTTTATTTGACTTTAAGCATAAATAAAAAAAAATCGGCCATGGTGACACTCTACCTCACACTCTAACTCTTCCCATCGCACCGGCTAAGCTGTTGGTTTGAACTGGGACCATGGAGCTTTATATTACAAATAAGTCTCTGCTGGGATATAAAATAACATATTTTGTCCCAGGCAAAAAATAGTGACAACTCAGGGATATCCATGAGTTGTCATTAATTTTTGCCTCTCAGTTTCAAATCTAGGACAAAATATCATATAGATTATGAAAGTGTGAATGGCAGTAACATACAAACTAAGATATGGTTGCGCGTCTCTCCTTACGTGGAAACAATTGACTTGATTTCTAGAATGAAAGATATAATATCCCGTTTCAATCTTTTTTTAACCGAAATACAGATTTTAGATAAAATATGTTGTCTGGATTACCCATGAATTGTATTTGTTACTGAGCTGAGCATATTATATTCAAAAGTGAAGATATAACAATTTTTTATTCAAAACTTGTATCCTGCGGACCAGCTGTTGATTTCCTGACTGAAGCCGAAGAAAGACGAGGAGCGAGAGGGCTGGAGTTCAAATCCCAGATAAGGCAATTTTTTAAATTGTTTAAGCCAGATAAACATCGAGTTGAATATCAGTGTTGCAATTAGCCTTATAGCCAATTTACTATAGTTATAACACTTGAAACAGCATTGGTGGCACTATACAAAAACAAATCGGTTTATAATCTCAAAACCTTCACCTTTCTGACATTCTGAGACCCAAACAAATTCAGCACCTTCTATGCTTTGATTTTATTAGGGTGTTAAATAAAGAAATAAAGACAAGAGATTTATTTAGATGATTTAATACACTGACACTAGAGATGCCAAATTGAACCTCTTTATAATATTAACCAATAACAATAAGCTGATATAAGACTATATATATATACATATATATATTCATTTATATATATGTATAAAAAACAACATAATAGCAAGCACATATGCTCCAGTTACAGTCCTCAGAAAAAAATGTATGTATACGGTGGTCCAGCCAAGGTGGGGGTCGGCTCAAAAAAACATTGAGTCCATCTACAGTGGGGGGTCTTCTCAAGAGTATCTGAATAAGTAGGTAATAGCCAAGAATATTTCTGTGCAGAGCAATATTAAATTGCAGTTTATCACAGTTAAAAGCAATTGAAAATCTTGGTAAAAAAATATGATGAAGTTTCAAACCATTTTTTTAAAGTGAAATAAAAAATCCTTTTTGAGAACTTTATATTGTTGAATCATCTGCTAAGAAAATGAGACAAATAATGTTTTAAAATATTAAATGTTGGCTTTTGACTGTATCCAGAACATATGTTTTTTTATATCCTCTTTACATGCAGCACTTGAGTAATACACTTGTTCTATTTTCTGGGATTCAGCATATAAAAGAAAGTCACACAGAAATAAATACCCTACTAGTTCAACATCCTATAAATACTTCATTAATACAATAAGGCAGAAAATATACTTAAAACATATCTAAGACATTTAGGGCTCTTGTAGAATTATATAAACAGAAATAGTTATCTGATGTCCTCATAAATGTCAATATAATTGTGAAAATTGTATAATAAAATATATCAAAATGTTTGATAGAAACTATGAATTCTCACAAGAAAGTATATTATTGATTTGAAGGAGAGAGAAATTTTGAATTATCATTTCAAATAAATTATCCTAATTCCATCATTTCAAATAAATTATCCTAATTCCATCATTTGAAATAAATTATCCTAATTCCATCATTTGAAATAAATTATCCAAATTCCATCATTTGAAATAAATTATCATAATTCCATCATTAAAAATATCATTCAATTTCCATAATTTCAAATAAATTATCCTAATTCCATCATTTTAAATAAATTATCCAAATTCCATCATTTCAAATAAATTATCCTAATTCCATAGTTAATGGAATGAAAAATTTAACAGTTAGTGATATGAGATGCCTTATATCTCATCAATGAAACCTTGTATTTCACCAGGTATACATGTATATATTAAAATACACATACAGGTACCTGATTTTACTGATTAGTATATTAGTATAAAATAGAAAATCAAGATTTTCTTCCTCACACTTGAAAAATATCTACACAAAAAAAATGGTCGCAAGAAACTCTTCTACAAAAAGAAAACGCAAAAAGCCTATTTTTTTTTTAACCCTTTGCCTCCAGACGGCAACTGAATCTACCCATGCAACCAGTGCAGACCAAGATCAGCCGGCATAACCATGCTTTCTAATAATGGTCCGCACTGCTGGCTATTCTGTCAATACCCATTTCCCTTAAAAATGATGAATGGTTTCGTCCAGATTGAATTATAGGACAAGTCCATTTAAGATATTTAGTGTATTAAGGGTTAACTGATTTCCTTTCGTTACAAACATTTATTTTGGCCCCTATTCTATATATCAGGTCACACTTATTGTTCATACTTATATTGGTATACATGTAGGGCTTATTAAAACACATCACTTTACCAATTTATAGGACACTTCATTACAAAAATCTCAACATGAATGTTTAAAATTCAAAATTAATGAAAAAAAGACAGAAAAAGAAAACAGCTGTGATGAAAATGAAATAAACGAGTAAGAAATATTTCACACCAACCCCAATGTAGAGACTGATCAATGACCTTTCCCGAATTTTCTGTTTGTACACACTCTGAATAATATTAAGTTTGTAATTCCTTAATCGAAGTCAACCCCCTAATGCCATCCAAGTTTTAAAATCACAACCCCAAAAACTATGGGTACTAGTTAGTTATAATTAAATCTGACGATTGATTCATGAAATACAAAGATTTATCATTTCTACTTCAAAAGATATTATGTAGGAATTCAGCTTCCATGAAAATAAAAGCATTAGTTCACTCAAGTGACAGAATTCAATATAGTTGTGAAATTCATTATTTATAAAGCCGCATAAAAAAATCAAATTGCACATCGTATATTCAGCCAAAATTGAGCAGTTATTCAACAATACGGCATGGGTTCTTATCTAATGGGTATGAAACTGTGAAACAAATGTTGTTGTTGTTGTTTTTTCTGGTTGATTTTTTTACTCTTTTCAAAGGATTACAGTTTGGATAAGTATGTATATATCGGTGAAGAAAGACTTGGAGTCCCCCATCCCAATCCATCTTTCATGTACTTTATTTCAGGATTAAGCAAACAACTCTAGGTAGACCTACAAAACTTGTATGCAAACTGAACAGTTTCAATATCATAAAGCATACATGCCATTAAGTCCCGGACTGTCCCGGAAATAAGGTGTCTGTCCCGGAAATGATTTATGTCCCGGTAAATATCAAAATCTAAAATAATCTAATAAAGAATTTAGGGCGAGATTTGAAGCCAGAGGTTATAATTAATCGCCCTGAACTTTTCAGTTCTGGTGATTCTAAAAATAGAAAACAAGGGGTCGTAACCTCGTACACAGCAAGTGAAGTACAATTATCATTATTTTTAAAACAAAGAGTTATAAAGGCAGATACTATGTCAGATAGGGACATTTTGTTTCACAGTTACATACCCTTTTTCCTCATAGAAAGCTGTCTGGTTTAACTATATAGCACACACTCAATAATTAAAAAGGGGAAACAACTGTTTTATATAATATGTATATATACGTAGATATACCGTCATTATGCATGCCTAGGTTAAAAATCTCTCAAATTATACAAAAAAAAGAAGATACAATTGTAATAGTAACCTAGAATAAATAACTAAGAAAAAAAAACATAGATAACAAAGTACATTCACTGTATAATCATAGTAATAAACTCTTTTATACATGTAAAATCTTACAAACGCATACAAGGATAAATTCCATTCAAAGACTCGTCGTGTAAACAACACGAGGGCTTCAAGCAAAACAAAAACAAAACATATTGTATCTTCTTGTATCTGACATACTACCACAACAGTCGTGCAACAAGCCCCCAAAAAACCATAATTGAGCCGTGTCATGACAAAACCAACATAGTGGGTTTGCGACCAGCATGGATCCAGACCAGCCTGCGCGTCCGTGCAGCCTGATCAGGATCCATGCTGTTCGCTTACCAACTCTATTACAAGTAGAGAAACTGATAGCGAACAGCATGGATCCTGATCAGACTGCGCGGTTGCGCAGGCTGGTCTGGATCCATGCTGGTCGCAAACGCACTATGTTGGTTTTGTTGCGACACGGCTCAATTATAATGTGAAGCACTTGATTGTGAAAATTTTTTAAAAACTGTAAATAAAACATTATTTGTGGTTATTTTTTATAAGATAGATTTTTAACTCTCCCTCATTATTTGTGTAGAATAAAGAAACATGTAAACTGAATAAAACTTAACAAGAATATCAGATCTCAAACGATTAAAAAGGAAACCTTCTTTTAACGTATTATTCTACTGATTCTGCATTAAAAAAATCAATACATTGTACCTTCCCCAACACCCCAAAAAAAATCATACATGCCACAACATAACCACCTAGAAATTGTGGCATATATGTCAAAATACATTTAGTTCAAGTGTATGTTCTTCCAATATTACAATTTGTGTACACCCTAACCCACACTAAATTTTGTGTGATAGATTTGAAAATATTCGATAGTATAATTTTATGAAAAATAATAAAACTGAAAATCCCAAAATCTAAATAGACTGCTAACAAATAGTAGGCAGGCGTTGGAACAATTCTAGGTGCCCTGGACCTACTATTAACAACATTATAAATAAGCTGGTTAAAATTCATTATATTCGTCACTTTTTTATCAAGTAACAAATAAAAGACAAAATTTTGTCCCCCACCTTCCCCCATCCTCCAATATTTCATCAATTCTTAGTATATTGCATTAAAAAATAATCATAGAAATATGTAATACATGTACATAACTAAATATATTGAATGAGTTGAATAAAGTCATGTTATGCGAGCCTCTGGCGAGCATAATATTGTTTTTATTCCAAAGTTGAAAAAATTTTAATATTGAATCTATCAATTTAATATTCTATTTATCACATATCCAAAACTAGAATGGTTTTCTGTTAAAAAGAGTTGTTTTTCATTGACACGCCTTTAGTGTAACCCTAACATTAGCACGATTTAACAATGTTTGAATATAACGCAAGTGACATAACGTCAAAATTGTTATTATACTTGTGTAATATTGTTTTTATCAAATGGCGTTATTACACTTCTGCACCAAAGTGAAGATGATAAATCTGTTGATCTCCCTATAATATTATGGGGACATATCAAATTATAGGATTTACAATTCAAAGTAACTTGTCACTATGTCATACTTCCGTCTACAGTTGATTGTTTTCTGATTATTATAATCACTTCATTTATATCAATTAAATTGAATTCCTGCATTTTTATGACACAATATTATCAAGAACAAAAATCAAAGAAACATATCGTAATTCTAAACCAGTCTTAAAGTTGCAAACCTTCTATTGGTCAATTTCAAACTCTGTACACAGAACCAACCAATCATATGCTCGAGTGAAAAAGACTGGACTGCAATTTTAAAACTTTTGTAAGCTTTTGCTCAATGAACTAGACTACAAACCTATTTTCAACACCAAAATACGAAACTATCTTTCTTTGTGGTGAAATTGCTTAGCTCAAAACTTACAGATTTCTCGTTAAAAATCTAAAAAAAGCATAACCTTTGCCAATAAGGTTTTATTTTCCAAGCCATCACTTTAAAAAGCCATCCAAAATATCATTCATTTATACGCATATACAAGTAACAATATACACTTAAAGTATGTTACAAATATCCAGTGATATAAAACATTATATATGTACACAATGATATATTTATCAACATTTAAAACAGCAATGAACACATGATCTCTGACTAAACAACACATATATTTTTTAAGGTCAAGGTCATTGTCAGGAAATGGAACAATTTCTGACAACTGACAATTTTCAAGGTCATTGTCGGGAAAAGAAACCATTTCTGACAACTGACAATTTTTCAAGGTCATTGTCGGGAAAAGAAACCATTTCTGACAACTGACAATTTTCAAGGTCATTGTCAGGAAATGAAACAATTTGTCATCAGGTCAAGGTCATTGCTGGGAAATGAAACAATTTCTGACAAATGACAATTTCTAAGGTAATTGTCAGGAAATGAAACAATTTCTGACAAGTGACATAGAGCTTGACAAGTATAATATGAGATTTAGTAATTCATTTTATTTCATACAAATCCATTAATGCAATGATAGAAGTTTTATAAAATGATAAGCAAGAAAATTCTTGAGGTGGACAGAAAATTCTTCACACTTTTTTATATGTATTTCTTTAAAAATAAAGATGCTCTCCTTGATACATAGATGAACTGCACTATCTTTTTTCTCTGAACAGAATAGGAATAAATTGCATGACAATAAAAAATATCTTTAAATCAAGTCAATGATTTTTGAGAACCAGTCTTCTTGTGACTCTGCAATTGGTTGAATTTAAATTTCAAATTTGAATTAGCCAATCAGATGACAAATTTTGTAGACTGGTTAAATTTTTGGAAACAAAAAAATAAATTCTTTAAAACATTTTCTTAGAAGTTTGCCTTGTAAAAATAAAACCCATTATAATGAGTATGGGACACTAAATAAAGTATCATAATGTATTGTGATAGTGAAATGTTTATCTTTATGTTTATACTTAACACCCTAAACAATCTGAATCATAATGAAGTATTTTATGATGGTTACAAAAATGATTTGTAGACTAAAGGCTAATGCAGTATGTTTGCCTCAAAGACACATTTTTGTAATTTTTAGTTTTCATTTTTGTAAAATTTGACACAAGCTTTTTTACGAATTAAAGCGAAAGTCAAACTAAAATAAAAGAAGAAAAGATTTTAAGGCCCGACTTTACTATATTATTTATTATGATTAAACAGAAATGGTTCCATGGATGATTTTAAAAAATTCAATGTAAGATATCTATGACCTTAGAAAATGAATATTCAAACAATGAATGACTTCTCAAAGTTTTAAACACCAACGGTTTAGAGTATGACCTTAAAAAAAAGAAAAGTAACAAACAAAAAAATTACAAACAAATCAATAACAAATATAGCACTTGATTAAACTGTTCTAATTAAATACCAAAAAAAATTCATTTTTCATCACCGTGTACTTGTTCTGTTCACTTTGCTGATTTAACACGATTTGTAATTATATTTTCCTGCCCCCTTACGTTCCAAACTTAAATCACTGGTATCGAATCTTGACAGCGAAAACTTCAGTCTTCATATATTGTCTTTAAGGTGACTATCCACCGCTCATTTTCATTCTACTTTTTTCTTTACGTAGGCATTGCACCTGTCCATCTATTTCAGCTTTTATAAGTAAGATTTTCTTTCTGGCCGTTTCCAAATACGAAGCTGTTCCTACCGTGTCAGCAAAATCATTTACAAAGATGGACGTATTTCTCTCTCCGTATTTTGTTTTCCTGGTTGACTAAGACATACTACTATTCAGTCACTCTCATATTTCATTCCCACTATGAAAGAAGAAACTACATTGTTCTATCAAGGTTTGTAGAATTTCTTCCGGTATTCGCGAGTATTTTGTCATTTTCTCAAACGAGTCAAATTCCATTCTAAATAAGGTGGGCCACCAGCATCTTGATAAGTTTTTCGAGTCCATGCTATTTTGATCATAATTTTTGCTAACTCTGAAACACAACAAATGAATGGAATTATTGCAAGTATATTGAAGTTAGTTAACCTTTACACTGTTTGATTTTTCTAAAGACCTTGTCCAGTCCATAATTATATTCAATGTAAGATTTCTAGGCCATTCCAAATGTAATATCAAAACACTAAAGTTGTGCACTAATAACAGGAAAAGATTCTTATCCTGACCTCACTAATGACCTTGAAATTATACTAACGGAAAACAGACGTCCCTTTGCACACTGTTTACAAATGGGTATAATTCAGTCAAAACCTACACAAGAGTTATGATTCTCAGACAGTGACCCAACATTGGTGATCCCTTAAACATTTATGCTATAACTGGTCTTACAATCAAATGTACATTTGTATTCTTTCCAAAGTTACTGGGCTGCCAAACATTTTATACTAAATGTCACCATGACCTTGACCTAATTAACCCGAAATCAATAAAGGTCAAACACTGGCCATGTGAAATGTCTCTTAAAAAATATCACAAACCTAGGCTTATTTCTTTTCAAAGCATTGATCAAACAAAGATTAACAAAAGTGCCACTATGACCTTGACCTTTGATTTAATGACCTCAAAATAAATACAGGTCATATACTGACCCTGACAAGTATGAAAACATAAGAAGTTATCAAGTTATTCAGCAGAAGTCAATGTGGCTAATGGATGGACAGACCACAATATGACCAGAGTTACATTTGGTTGTGAAAATCATCGCTGTAATCTGTAATTATCTTTATAATGAATATCTAAGCCTATAGGGAAGTAAATTTTGTACATGTATAAACCAGGATTATTATGGAAGTATGTTGACTCTATAAATACACAAATGTACATGTATAATGAATTTTTCTAGGATGGAATACGGAAGTGGTAAGTGCATATATGATCTAAATAAGCAAAATCTATATTAAGGACCTCTTTGATTTGACACCTGCTTATATTTCAATAAGTGTATGATCAAGTGTGATTATATCTAATTAATTCCTACAGCGTCGTACCAGATTACCTTATTAACACAGATTTCATTACAGTTAGGTTATATTTTTATTCCTGAAACCATGTAATAGTAGGCCTAAGTATAGCAGAATAGTAGATAAGTAATAATAGTAATAAGTGGCATTACATGTATATACTGGTACCTTGAAATATAATTAGAATAATTAATTAAACTGTCCCAATTTGGCACAAAATTTGCCAATTTTAACAGAAAAGCTGGCTTTTGACAAATATACCATATTTCAATTAGTCAACTTTTTGTCTGTATATTCATCTTTTACCTTTGTACCTATTTTTAGTAACATACTTGGTTTTAATGTTGCCTAGGTAACAAAAAAACATAGAATATTATCATATTCACATATTTTCATCTCTAATAATATAAGAAGTAAAACAAAGATGCTGCATTTACTTCCCCGTCACAAAAGGTTTACCTGCTGCTGCATTATAGTCTTAATAATTCAATTGTCAGTAAAAATGTGTCTAAAACCCAGTATTTCTACTCCTACCCAACATTATTTTCTAACTTCTAATTTAACCCCCAAAGTTCACCTCAAATTCAGTATTCCACAACCCAGAACAGACAAAATACTTACTTGTGTAAATGAGTTATAAGAAATTTAAGGACTTCAAAGTTAAGGGGATGCATCTTTAGGAAGACTCCCCGTAAAGCTATAATTCTGCTACTCTTGTCAACAACCCCTGAAATATACAACCACAATAATATACATTCTTCCTGCCACAAATAATAAACATAATTTGAGCCGTGGTCATGACAAAACATCAACATAGTTTGCAGTTGTGCTACCAGCATCATGGAACCTGATCAGACTGCGCAGGCTGGTCTGGATCCATGCTGGTCGCAAACGCATTATGTTGGTTTTGTCGTGACGCGGCTCAATTTTCGGTGTATGAGATGGAAATATAACATCTAAAATCATGTAAGGAAAATTTCCCTCTACTTTAACTTATAACCCTGGCAAAATCATTAAAATTACAGAGTACACACATGTAAGATAAATAAAAATTAAGTCAGTAACACAGACACATAAACATACAAAGTTTTACATTCATAAGAAATTTAATTTTAACTTAAGGCATTACAAATTAGCAAAAATAACCAGTCACCACATACAGCTCTGTGATTGGTCTATTTTAAATTCAAATATTACGTGATTGGTCTATTTCAAATTTAAATATTACAGAATTATCCAATCAAGTACTTGACTGGTATACAATAACAAAATACATATATTTTTTACATTTGCATAAAAATCAACCATACTGAACTTCAAATTAATATTTTAAAGTGTTCCTGGTAACCTAACCCTGTTATTTTTTTTGCTTATTTTTTTGCAAATGTATGCTCGTGTCCACAAGCCCCAGTGCATCATATACATGTATATTTTCTACTATTTTGATGACCACAAGCCCCAGTGTATTAGTATTTTACCTAATGTTGTGTTGCAATGCTGCTGTGCAAGCTTCTCTTAACATAATGTAAGCATCAAGCTTATTGCCAGGCAACAATGATATGAATATAATATTGTCACCTTAACTGAAGGACTTATTCCATTATTGCACTATCCATAGAAACAATGAATTGATAATAATATTGATAATTACATCCATGGTAACAGACTGAGATGATAACTGTATCCAAGACAAAAATGATAAAATTAAAGTCATGGCAACAATCATATGAATATTCTATTTGTGGCTTTAATGACATGATGAATATATCCATGGCAACAATTAAATATCCATGGCAACAATGGTTTAACAGTTAATACGCTTGAAACACTGATATGATTATATCTATGGTAACGATGATATGAGAATTTTATTACCATGACAACAGCGATAATGAAAAAGGTGATAACAACAATGACAATGAATGAGGGTGATAACAATGAAAACAAATAAAGGTGATAACAATAATGAATGAAGGTAATAACAATGACAACAATGATAATGAATGAGGGTGATAACAATGATAATGAATGAGGGTGATAACAATGATAATGAATAAGGGTGATAACTATGATAACGAATGAGGGTGATAACAACGACAACAATGATAATGAAAGATGGTAATAACAATGACAACAAAGCAAACAGATGGTGTTTTTACAATGACAATGATAAAATGATAAATCTAAAGAATTAAGCCCTTACTCTGCTGGAACCAAAAGTAGTAAGCCTTTGCTTCTAGTATTGAGCCAAGTCAGTCTGCATTTCCATGCATTCTGACCAGGCTCTAAATTATTAGTAGATCCTTTTTTAGTATTTTGATAATAAAATCCCTTAAAACTTTAAATGGATTGTTCCAAATTAAAAGATGAGCAAATCCATTACACAAATTCAGGAGGTGAAGGGTTAGAATAGCAATGATAATTAGAGAGTGATATGACAATGTTCCTTAAAAGTTTTTAACAACAATGATAATCCTGAGTTTATTAAAAGCAATGAAAAATGGTGATTAGAATAGCAATGATAATTATAGTTTTAATATGACATTAATGATAACAACAATATTTCAAATATATGGGTTTTTTTTTCAGATGTAAACTGCCAAGTAGAAGAGTAAATTCAACTCAACTGTCATCTTTTTGCCATGCATTCTCAACCAAACAAACTACATGTACAAGTTCTTTTCCAAAAAAGTTTCTTATACTTTGGACAGATTTATCTACTACATGTACATATTAAGTATATAAATTATTATGCGATTTGTCACTTTAAAAAAATTATGTAAGTTTTTTTTTTTGTCCAAATTTTCTTGTCAAATTTTTTTATGCAAACAAAATAAAATAGATATTGACATTTTATAGAGATAAAATTAATGGTCACACAAAATTTTTAAAAGAATTACACAAACGTGCTCAGTGAATTTGATATATGACACATGTTAAAAGATGAGCATGCAATAGACAATACATGTATATTAGTTTATTACTGATATTGTATTGATAACAGTGCAATATCAATGATATCCCTTATCATGATATATTAGATGATATATATGATTTAAATGTTTTATACATGATATAAAAGTTTATGATTTAAAATGTTTCATCATGACATAAAAGTTTATGATTTAACATGCTATACCATGGTTAAAATGTTATGATTTAAAATCTTGCATCATGGTAAAAATGTTATGATGTAAAATTTTTCATCATGACATAAAAGGTTATGATTTAAAATGTTGCATCATGACATAAATTGTTATGATTTAAAATGTTATATCATGGTAAAAATATTATGATTTAAAATGTTACATCATGACATAAAAAGTTATGATTTAAAATCTTATATCATGGTAAAAAGGTTATGATTTAAAATGTTGCATCATGACATAAAAGGTTATGATTTAAAATGTTATATCATGAAAAATGTTATGATTTAAAATGTTGCATCATGACATAAAAGGTTATGATTTAAAATGTTATATCATGAAAAATGTTATGATTTAAAATGTTGCATCATGACATAAAAGGTTATGATTTAAAATGTTGCATCATGACATAAAAGGTTATGATTTAAAATGTTATATCATGACATAAAAGGTTATGATTTAAAATGTTGCATCATGACATAAAAGGTTATGATTTAAAATGTTGCATCAAACATAAGTTGTTAATCACAATTTTAAATGTTGCATCAGATATTATAATTTAAATTGTTCCATTGTGACTTAAAATAGCTCAAAAACTGCAATGCTGGTTAGTGTGAAGATGAATGTCAAATGAATGTTAAATGAATACCAGAATGAATGTCGGAATGAATGTCAGAATGAATGTTACATGAATGTTAAATGAATGTTGGAATGAATCGTTATAAGTTTTAATTTATTACAGGAAGGATTTACTATCAGATTAGAATTTAGAGATATAGAAAAAGTTTAAATGACACACAAAGCAACTATGGGACATATTAAATGCTTAAAATTTTAGTGAAAAAAGCTATAATACAATTTTATTATATTATTTATTTAATTTTTTTTTTTGGGGGGGGGGGGGGGGGGGGGGGGGGGGGGGGGGGGGGGGGCAAGTCACACCAACATAGTATAGGTCATATGGTGACTTTCAAGTTTTTCTGTGCCCTTCTATGCATTATTTCATACACAAAGGAACCACCAACATTTCAAGCTAGCTGGATAGCCTCCTCACATAAAACTATTTTAAGTCCCTGTTGGAATTTAAACTCAGTGGTGAGGGGTGTTACAAAAGTTGATAATTTAACTGTAATAAAGAACAATAGATGGACAATTTTGACAGACATAGGTGAAATGTAAGCGAGCCTAACCTTAAAGGTAGTGCACTTACACAGGCGAGGATGAAAATGTTATTGCACCAAGCCCTCAGCTTTGTGCAACAATTTTATATTATTATTAAATTATTTCATATTATTATACACTGCCCAAAGTGGGATTGGTAAGTTTATTTATTACATACTTTTCGGTGGTTTATAGAAATATATCAGTGAAATATAAAACTGATATTCTCACTGTTTAAAACAGCGAAAAAATATCAATTTGATATTTTCCCTGTTTAGAATTTAAGCCTGTTACGTTGTTTAAGTGAAATACCAGCATGCACAGTACTGGAAACGGACTTAAGGATGTGACATTGTTATGTCGCGTCGTAAATGACATCATGTTGTATTATTATTTGGCGTGCTTTTCATTTAGTATTAGATTAAAATTTCTTTTTTAAACATTTCAAAAGAAAGTTTCTAAAGTTTAGAGTAAGATCGAAATATAGTTCACCTGCGCCACTGTGCCACTTGTGCAATATACCTTTTGGTGTTCACTCAGTGAAATATATTTCAATCTTACACTGAACTAAACAAATATCCTCTATATAAACCTAAACATAAGAGCTCATATGTGTTGCTTTGATTTTGGTACTGAAAACATTAGTAACTACATAGCCAACTCTTTGAACTGAATGTCTTCCTTTGGAACTGGCAACATCAGTAATTACAGGGAATTTAGGCGTCTAAACTTTAAAACTCAGCAGCCTACGGTGCATTCTCGTCAACTTGCTCGACGTGAAGTGTAGCATGTACTAGCATAATGATTGTGACAAAGGATTTTCCATTATCACAATAAGCATGTGAAGGGTTAAAACTCTTGTCAAGTAAAGCAGGAGAAACAAATCAAACTGGAAAGGGGTTATGGTTCACACAAAGCTGTCTTTGCAAAAATTATACTAAGCAGTTAATTTTTTACGTAATATTTGTTACACTGCATTGATATATTACTAGCAGAAAACAATTTAAGAAAATACTTCCTGTTTGAAATTATATTTTGTCCGATAAAATTGCAGTTTTACAAATGAATCGTAACACATTTGAGCCGTGTCACGACAAAATCAACATAGTGCGTTTGCTACCAGCATGGATCCAGACCAGCCTGATCATCCGCTCGGTCTGATCAGGATCCATGATGTTCGCTTATAAACCCTATAACATGTAGAGAAACTGATAGGGAACAGTATGTATCCTGATCAGACTGCTAGGATGCGCAGGCTGGTCTGGATCCATGCTGGTCGCAAACCCATTATGTTGGTTTTGTCATGACGCAGCTCATTTATTTTGGTAAATAGGCAAACTGTTAATCAATCTAGTAAATTGACTGTTTATAAAAATAACTTAAAACACTACGCCTGACCAATATAATTTTGTAAATATGTACTAATAAACTTTAACCTATACCTAAATGACAGTTTAATATTAGTCATGAAAATATCAGATTGTGTTGTTTGTTTTGTGTGTGTGTGTGTATGTTATTTTTTTCCTGTTTTTTATAATATCTAATGTACGATTCTTAATGTATGAAATATATTTGTCTTTTTATAACTGATAAAAGAGTTGTGATAAAAAAAAAATAATATTACTATAATTCATCATGCATTTTTAAAAGTTTAATTTAATACAGATACAAAAATAAGAAATTAGTGTTGAGTTTTTTGTCAAACAAAACATTTAAGGGAAACATTTCAGATTTAATTTAGTGGTGGTTGACCACCGCAGTCACTATATTTAGTATTTCAGGCGTCAAGGTAAAACCACCAACCTTCTTTTAGAAAGCAAGTTTCTTTACAAGAAAGAATATATCCAATAATTCTTACTACATTAAAACCAAAACTGATTATGAAAGAAATTTATGATAAAAACTATTGTTTTAGCTGTAAAAAACATTCTAAAATCTTTGAATATATAAGAGTATGGTTTTAACAAATAAATCAACTGAAATGTTTAAAAATATAGTCTTAACTTTATACGGTACAAGCTCAGTGTTCCGATATACTAAACCATGATTAGTCATTCTGTATATATAATTATATCCGTGTTAACCACAGCCCAAAGGTGCAAAACTCATAAATTGGAAACCAGTCCAGATTTCAAGCTCAAACATTGGCTTATTTCATATTTTTACATGAATTTGACCAATCAGTGTTTAATGATATATGACTGGTGCCCAGCCTACAATTTTATTAAATTGACTGGTACACATTTTTAAAAACAGAAAGCCATAAAAGTGTACATTCAGAAATTGGTAACCAGTCAAAATGCTAGCTCTAGCTTCTTTGCTTCTCGATTGGTTACTTTGAAAAATCTGGTCACAAAATTGACCAATCAAAATTTAATTGAATGAGACTGGTTCCCTATATCATGTTTTTCTCTAAAACCTTTTGGTCTATGTTTTACTGGAATATTAAGAGCAAGCTTATTATAATTATTGTCGAGAAAAAAGATTGCAAACAGATTGTGACTTTTATTCATTAGTGACATACTTTGATAATTCATAAAATTGTAAACCTCTTTAGGCTTCATGATCAGTTTTTTTACGAAAAATTTCAAATCTTTGATTTTCTAATCGGAATACTTAGTAACTTTTAGTTATAGTATAAACAATGCAATTTTGATTTTTTTCTTATTACACAAAGGAAGTGGTAAAAACACCTAAAATTCTCGAAGACTTTTGTGAAGAATATATTACCTGAAGGCATTTTTATCATTATGAAAATATATCACCGAAAAGTCACTGTGTATTTCTATATTGTTTTTTTTTTAGAGAAATCGAGAGTAAAAGCTCTATCCCCTGTGTACAACAGTTTACCTGGGTCTAAACAGTCCTTTGTACGCTCTGAATTGAACCAACACATTCATTACTTTATTTGCTACCAAATACTAACATACAGAATTTCCAACTTTTTCAAAAATATCTACACACCCCCTAATCTGTGTGGGTGAGTATTTAAGTTTCACTACCACTGGCAATGTTAAACAGGACTTCTGTGCTTTATTTGTGGTTCAAAACCATAGTTGTCTACCGGTGCTGTAGTTTTCAAGCATTAACAAGTATTTCAGAAGAACTTATCGACTTTTTGTACATGTACTTAAGCGGGCCTGCAGCTGATTTCAATATTAACAGATTCAATCTATATCCAGCCTTGTCTTACAGTTTACAAACTTAAGTAACACATAATCAAATTTGAACACCCATTCTTTTAAAACAAACAAAACCCCCACTTATATTCATTAAACATGTAATGTTTATCATATTCATTCAATCTTCAAGAAAAAAATGCAAAAAAAGCCAGGTTGTAACAGATCAAATTAAACATGGAACCCAAAAACCTTCTTATTCATTTATACAAGTAATAATCATCAACTGGAAGGTTCAGTTGAGATGCTTTTAACTTTTAGCATATCAACCACATTTGATCTAAGAACAAAAATTCAAATATTCTAACAAAACTCATTGGGTAGAAATTCTTTTAAATTTTAACGTATCAACCACATTTGATCCAACAACAAAACTTAAAATATTCTAACAAAATTCATTGGGTAGAAATTCTTAACTTTTAACGTATCAACCACATTTGATCTAAGAACGAAACAGAAAACCATAGTTACCTGAGGCTTCAATCAGTTCATCATATAATGACATGGGTACGAGGGGGTCTGTTAAATCAGCGAAGAATGCCTTCAGAACAGTGGCTACAGCATTCACTTGAATATCCAGACTTGATATGTCTATATTGGAATCTGAAATAGTTTTTTTTCTTATAAATTCTACCTATCTTTGAGCTTTAAACATTGTAATATACACTTGAATGTGAAACAAGTTCTTGCAACTTAGAGTAAAATAATATAATAATATAAATATTTAACTAAGGCTCAAATCTACTTCTTGGGACTAACAAGCTCTGGTGTCACGACAAATACATGCTTGCAGCGCGAGTTCAAACCCGGTCAGGACCAAGCTGTTGCTTCCCTAAGCTTGAAATGTTACATTTGTAGATAGGTACTCGTTGATTTCAGGATCAGATTCCAGTGTGTAAATATGATGAAACTAAATTCTGTATAAAGTACATTACTTTACATTTTGAGATGATCATATATAATCCAATGTATTTTTTGTTTTTGCTTTATTTTTTGTTTTGTTTAATCTTTTTTTCTTGTAATCTACTAAAAAGAATGTAACTAATGTACGTTATGACAAATTATAAAACAAATAAACAATTTTTATATCAAGAAAAAAAAAAAAAAAAATAAGCCGCATGTTGAGTAGATGCTAAATGATGAGAACAGATATATAAGTATCAAACCTTCATTGTATTTGGTAGTAAGGAGGTCAACTTGAGCTTTATTTCCAGGTATCCTATAAATACCTTCTGCATGTAAACCTGAAAAATATGATACAATTATATGTAACACATCATGATACTGACCAATATTTCTACACTGCCAGTTTTACAGCATTTCAGTGATATAACCAGAGCACTGACTTTGATCCCAGTGCATGTATCACATGTACAAACACAAGTCAACAGATAACAAAATCTGTATTACACTTAAGATCTGGAAAAACGTTGCTGACGTTAAAAAAATCAATTTATGGTTAAATATCTAGTTTAAATTCAACAAGGTACATGTATATAATGTATAATGAAAGGGCTATCATCATGAATCTGGAACTTATATTTGATTCGAGAGTGGATTTTACTAGAAGAGATCTCACGTGGTCCTTCTGCACCTCTTAGCCAAGTAAAATCCACAAGTTCTTGATGAAGATACACATAATTATGCTTAACATATTTCACCATCTTATTTCAGGAGTGTGACATATTTCTCTATAAACTGATATACAGATGAGTTTGTTCAGAATTGAATTCATAGTATTACATTCAATTGAATTCATAGTATTACATTCAGACTTAATAAATAATACGTAATATTTACCTTCTGATTCGATGAATTCGACACATTTCTCTATGAATTGAGGCACAGACGGGTTATTTGGAGACATGGAGAAGTCACTGAGACTAATGCCGCTCTCTGATTGGCCGGCGGCTTTACTGTCCTTCTTCTTGATCTTCTTCTGCAACTTTTGCTGCTCTTTCTGCTTCTTTTCCTGTAAAATGTAAAGAAAACAACATTTTTTTTATAACTATGTCTAATTCTGTCAAAGTAATTGTAATGTTATCCTATACATTTTAAATGTAATTGTAATATCAGGAGAATTGGACATGTAATTGTAATATAAGTAAGTTTTGGATATGTTATGGAAATTAATGTAATTGATATTAATATACATAGGTTTTTGGACATGTAATATAAGTAAGTTTTGGATATGTAATTGAAATTAATATACATGTACGTAGGTTTTTGGACATGTAATTGTAATATATGTAATTTTTGGATAATGTAAGTGAAATTAATATACATGAACGTAGGTTTTTGGAAATGTAATTGTAATATAAGTAAGTTTTGCATATGTAATTGAAATTAATATACATGTACGTAGGTTTTTGGACATGTAATTGTAATATATGTAATTTTTGGATAATGTAAGTGAAATTAATATACATGAACGTAGGTTTTTGGAAATGTAATTGTAATATAAGTAAGTTTTGGATATGTAATTGAAATTAATATACTTGTACGTAGGTTTTTGGACATGTAATTGTAATATATGTAATTTTTGGATAATGTAAGTGAAATTAATATACATGAACGTAGGTTTTTGGAAATGTAATTGTAATTTAAGTAAGTTTTGGATATGTAAGTGAAAATAATATACATGATTGTAGGTTTTTTGGACATGTAATTGTAATATAAGTAAGTTTTGGATATGTAATTGAAATTAATATACATGTACGTAGGTTTTTTGGACATGTTATTGTAATTTAAGGAGGTTTTGGATATGTAATTGAAATTAATAAACATGTACATAGGTTTTTGGACATGTAATTGTAATTTAAGTAAGTTTTGGATATGTAAGTGAAAATAATATACATGATTGTAGGTTTTTTGGACATGTAATTGTAATATAAGTAAGTTTTGGATATGTAATTGAAATTAATATACATGTACGTAGGTTTTTTGGACATGTTATTGTAATTTAAGGAGGTTTTGGATATGTAATTGAAATTAATAAACATGTACATAGGTTTTTGGACATGTTATTGTAATATAAGGAGGTTTTCTGGACATGTAATTGTAATGTAAATTATGTAATACACTTTATTTTAATGTTATTGACCCTAAGTCCACAAACATTAGGCTGAATCATTTAATAATACACAAACCTGAATAAGAATTGAAGTTTTACTGTAAGTATCTTCATTTTACAACTGGTCAAACATAAACAAATTTACCTTAAATCACAATAGGGTCAAATAAATGGTCATCAATTTTACACAGACATTAAATGTTTCCATAGATCACAACAAATACATCAACTCTTTTTAATTATAAGTATGTTTTCAATTGGACATTACATACTTTTTCTTCATGTTATCAATAATACATACACAATTTAACCTAATTAGTACATAAAAATGAATAAGTCTCTAATAGGTCACAGGCAGACAGACATTATTATATAATTCCATCATAGAACCCTAATTAGTCACAATTCCATCATTAATCCCTAATTAGACCTAATTCCACCATAAATCCCTAATTAGACATAATTCCATCATAAATCCCTAATTAGACATAATTCCATCGATCATAGCCCCCTAATTAGACATAATTCCATCGATCATAGACCCCTGATTAGACATAATTCCATCATAGATCCCTAATTAGACATAATTCCACCATAAATCCCTAATTAGACATAATTCCGTCATAAATCCCTAATTAGACATAATTCCATCATAAATCCCTAATTAGACATAATTCCATCATAAATCCCTAATTAGACATAATTCCATCATAAATCCCTAATTAGACATAATTCCATCATAAATCCCTAATTAGACATAATTCCATCATAGATCCCTAATTAGACATAATTCCACCATTAATCCCTAATTAGACATAATTCCACCATAAATCCCTAATTAGACATAATTCCATCATAAATCCCTAATTAGACATTAACTATTTCACCCGCTGATTGACAATTAGACATAAATTATTTACCGAGGGTCGCCAATCATAGCCATCATCATCGAGATCGTTAACTGGACGTTTTAATCGTTCATATGGCACCGTTTTTACTGTGGCACATGGTACATTATTCGAGACACCACATCCCATTCTTATCACAGTTATAATAAATATATCCTTTATCACATTTTAATCCAATCTACACTTATAAACTCTCAAAAACTTATCAACATTTAAAAACTGCTATACACAACTGTACACAAACAGATTATCTGAATAAATTTATCTATTTCCCAAACTATATAATTTATTTTGAATCATGTTTTGTAAACTATGATAAAGTTACTGAATCATGTTTTGTAAACTATGATAAAGTTACTATGATTAAATCATTAAAAATGCAAATTTAAAAAAAAAAAATCAAAAATCAATCCATGCTTTTCATAATCTGATATGTAATACTTCTAAATGTTTATATACGCGTAAAGCACCTGTCATATGAAACTATACATGTCCGAACATAAATCCATACGCAGCAGGTATAAAATATTTAAAAAGGCAATACTTTAAATTGTCCAATAAAACTTTTTACACTATTGTTATTGTTTGAAGATTAAAGCCATGGTGGCTAGCCAATAATTTATAAAATATCTAGGTCATAACCAAAACTGTTAAGACAAAAAATAAAACTTTAAATTACGGCACTTCCTTATACTGCCACATTTTCAATACTACCATATGTATATAAAACCAGGTAGATGTATATTATTGCCAAACTTTCTCGATACGATTTATTGATCTCTCTTTGGGAATTTCGTTCATACCAGTTATATCTGTGTCTCGCTACTTGTGTTTACTGTTGATCTAGCTATCACGTTTCTATTTATAGCATACAAACAGTGTCTCTTAATGCAGCGATAATAAATACGGCTTTAAGGGGATTTAATCTTAATATAAATGCATTCTTTACGGCTGTTGAAGTAATCATGTAATATAATACAATATTATATTTTTAGTCTTAAGCATTAATATTTCGGGAATCATTTAAATAAATGTCTTGTCATTAAAATAATAAACCCTTAAAGTGCTGGAACCGAAAGCTTTAAGCCTTTGCCACCAGTATAGAGCCAGGCCGTGCAGTCTGACCAGGCTCTATACTGTTGACTAACAAACTTTAAATATTCAAATTGATATCCCTAAAATTGATAATGGACAGTCCCAAAAATGGAAGTTCATTTAAAATATTCAGCATGTTAAGGGTTAAATTATCATGTACATTTACCAGGCTATATTAATTTTGTGTGATAGACTTTTTTATACCCTGCTTTGAACTTTAAACTCTTGAGAGTAAGAAATCACCGTAGTGCAATAACTGATTAACTCTTATTAAATTTAGAAGGACTTATTCCGTTACTGCAGTAAGGTGATAAAGAGAGAATTTCAACACCAAAAATGTTTAAGCTTTAAGAAGTGAACAACTGAACATAGAAAAGAACCATTTCAACTCCGAGTGGTTCAAGCTGCCTGGCTTGCTGGCCCTACTCTATACATTAAACTAGCCATACCCTAACCTAGACGAACAGGCCACACAGCACCCAGGAACCATATCCTCAAATAAGAATTACAGAATCCTAATTAGCATAATTATATAAGGCCTTATGTATGAGAATGAATGCTAGCATTTTGGTATTACATGTATCTCAAATGATATCACAGTTGAAAAAACACCCTCTCATGTGACAAGAAATTAACTTAAACAGGTAATACCAAAAGTTCAAAACTATTCAGACACGGTAAGATGACGGCAAGACAGCTTCGAGTTTATTAGAATTATTACCAGACATAAGTAACATTTACAGATTTATTAGAGCTGGTTTGAATCCTTCAGTCTGAAATATTATAAATTCATGTCCTTATTTCACTATAACATTGATCATGTTTAACAAGATTGCCAGTATACAAAATTAACCCTTGCCACCCTTGATATCTTAAATGGACTTTTTTTTTTTTCAACCTGGATAAAACTATTCATTGTTTTTGGGTAACATTATAAAATATGTAGTAACTGAATAGAGAATGGATGTGCCTGCTGATCTAAGTCTGCACTAGTCAAATGGGCAAAATTTTAGTCCCTGCCCCTGAACCCACCCCCAGCAGGCTATAATGATATTTAAATATTAAAGCTATTAAATAAATTCTAAGGCTTTTGTTCATTAAATTTCATCGCAACAAAAAGCCAATACTTTAATGCCTTGCGAAAATAAATTATTTTATAAACATGTTTGTTTAACGGTATAATTGGAAAACATGGGAAATATAGTACATGTAAACAAATTATTATGAATATAAAGAAGAAAACGACCTAAAATTCCAATGTTAACCGACATCAAAAACTTGTTGACAATCTGTTCTGTTGACAAACGGCTAGCCAACAGTTGTATTTACACAAGACAAAATGTTCAAGGCAGCGAGATACTACAAAATCAATATTTCAAGAAAACTACACTTTAATCGAGTGGGTGGGGTAACCGCAATCAATACCGAGGGAATTTCAGTGAAATAAATATCAACAGAGATTTTCATTCACTAACCGTGTCACCGACTTTCTCATAACTGACAGACTGATTTTTATTCAGCTTACAAATGACAGCAAAGCCGTAATAATTTTCTCATATTTCTAAAAAATCAAGCCTATTTTTTTTTATGTCATGTGTTTATGATCGTGTTGTTATATATTCCCTCAGACTTTATTTTAATCAAGGAAAAAATGCATAGTTCAGGTATTTACAGACTAGATTGAATCTCACTGGCGTCATTATTTTACTAACATAACTATTATTCTTTTATCTTTTATTTTTAATTGTAAATATTAAGTTAACAGAAATTTGAATAGTTGTTGATACAGAACTGTGAATGACATTTCTTAACAAAGCCAAAGCATGACAAAATTGACAAAACATAAAGCTGTGAAAGTAAAGTTACACTTAATTCTCAAACAGTAAATTGTATTTT